TTGAATACTTGCCAGCTTTCTTGGGGCCCCTCTTCTCTCCCAGGCTTCATCCCATGGAACCTTGCTAATCAGTTCCCTGCAGAAGCCAAAATCTCTTCTCCTGAATTCCAGGGTAGTGAGCTTGCTGAGCACCCTCCTCACCTCCTTATGGATCTCAAACTCCGCTATTTCACAGTTGCTGCAGCCAAGGCTGCCCTTGAGCTTCACATCCCACATTAGCCCCTCCCTGTTGGTTAGAAGAAAGTCCAGCACAGCACCCCTCCTCAGCTTCTCTATCACCTGGAGATGGAAGTTGTGATTGACACATTCCAGGAACCTCCTGGTTTGCTTGTGCCCTGCCGTGCTGTTCCTCAGCATGGTGCGACTAATTAATCTAAAGCCTGAATGAGATTTATGTTTTCCTCTCCTGATACAGTTTTAGCAAATAGCTAAGCCTCAGAAGGTGTCTGTTTATATACCTACTCAGCCCGATATGATAGAAGGAAGAAGTTCCCAGAGCTATAGTTCCTCTTCTAGCTGTAACTTGTACTTACATTCCTCAAATGTAGATGTGGCATTTTCCCACATCTCCTTGTTTGGTTGCTGTCAGACTGAATAAACCATCTCCAAGGGTGAGAAGTCGGTCTTCCAGTAGGCGGTTGGGCCAAAGCCTGTATGGGCACTGAGGTGTAGTAAGAAGTTTCTTCTCTGTCTTTCTTTTTTTCCCTGAGATAGATACTGGTCTACATGTTGTGATTTCCTCCCCCCCTCCCCCCAACTGTTAGACCTTGGTGTTCAAACACAAAGCTACTGCTGTCTTTTGATTCAGGCTTGATGTAAATTACACCTTGGAATTAGAAATATTCCTTCATCTTATCCGTCATCTGAAACTGTTCAGCTGGAGCCATTCTTGTTGGTTTTGTGGTTTTTTTTCAGTTGTTTAATTCTTTGTTTTAGGAGGTCTCTGCTGATCCCACGGGAACTCTCACAGCTGCTGAAGAGCGAAAGGAGAAGGTGCCAAGCCCACATCTCAGTCATCTTGTAGTTTTGACGTCTGGAAATTCGCTGTATGGTTTGGCAGAGAGAGTGGTGGCTACAGAATCCTTGTAGGTTATTTACTGTAAACTGCATTTTGTGGTCACTGGAAGCTGTGGATTGTTTAAGAGATTGTGATTACAAGCCATAACCTTCTTGAGAAGTCAAAAATTTGTACTTGTTAATGTGATTTTAAATGAATGATAGAGGTATTTTCTTAATTAAAAGTAGTGGGACCAGACCATCTGGTCTAACCACCTGCAAACACATGGGATGAAATTTTACTGCAGCTGGTCCAGTGATTTGTGACAGTACAAGGCCAAATCTAACAGGAAAAATGTTTAATTTTCAAGAGGCTAATGGGAGTATTTAATCTGTATGGTTCATTTAAACCTTATATTGAGTACTTAAATGCCGATGGCTGAGTCTTAAAACTGCTTAGTTCATACGGGTTTGCCTTGGATTGCAATGTTCTTTGCCATGGGTAGAAGTTTACCTGTGAAGAAGAGATAATAACAAGCAAGTAACACAAAACTCCTACAGAAAAGTCAGACGGGAATATTTTTTTGGCCCACACAAGGTGACATTTAAAGATCAGAAGTTAATTTTTAAAATGTATTTTCAGAGGAGCTCATTTTCTTTTGCATTCCTTTATGCTTAGTTAGAAATCTATTTCTTTGTTGTGTTGTTGTTAACAAATCCTACGCCTGAGAAAGAATACAAGATCATATTCTATCTTTTAAAGATTTTATCTTTAAAGATAAGTATTTTAAAGATTAGGAAAGTTATTTTGGAATTCTGACATGGATTTATTAATATTAATGTCCTGTAGTATGGAAATTAGGGGACACTTGTCCACTGACTTTACTAGACTTTGGATCAGACTCTTGCAATGTATACTTAGTAGACTAGAAATATGAATTGTTGACATGCAAGCCTTAATCTCTTTATTCAACCCATTTCTTGTTTGCAATCATATTTTAAAATTGTCAGAATTGAGAATACTTGTTGATATGATGGTATGAAACTGGCATAGTTCTTCTCAGGAATAAGTTTTCCAAGGTTATATCATTATTGCTAAATATGTCAACTGTAGAGTAAAAGTTGTACAGAGACATGTCAAATGTTGCGTTTAGTTCACAGTAAATTTTCTTTGTTTTCAAAGGGTATTTCTGGCTGAGCAGTTTGAGTTTCTTCAGCCTCATCTTGATGCAGTTATGCCAGCTGTCAAGAAGCCTTTTCTTCAGCAGTTCTATTCTCAGGTCAGAATTGTACAATTCAAAGCTGATTTTTAAAGAGAAAATTTGAAACTTGTACAATATGTTGCACATACTTGTACATCTTAGTTATATATTGCTTTTATTAGCGAGAAAGTTACTGAACTGGATTTTATTTATATTCTGTTTCAGACAGTGTCAACTGCTAGTGAACTACGTAAACCGGTTTATTGGATTGTTGCTGCTAAAGCCATTGATTATGAACAAATGCTGCTTCTTATGGCTAATGTGAAATGGGATGTGAAGGAAATCATGTCACAACACAATATATATGTAGATGCTCTTTTAAAGGTGAATACTATCTGGGAAATGGTGTTCTAGAGTTTATATAAATGCTAAATTACTCTAATACTAAGACTGTTAAAAGTAGCATACTGATTTTTGACTTGCATGGTGGGTGAAAGTGACCACAAAAGTTTAAGGAGTTTCATGTGTAAATCTTGAATGTTAGATAAATGTGTAGTAAACAGAGTAGCTGAAGAAAATCCAGTGGTCTCAGTGGTTTTTAGCAATGGCTATTTTCCATACTCATAATTTTATCTGTTGTCTTTAAGAAGTATCGTAGTGGCTGTAGGTCAGACCAGCACCGATAAGGATCATGCACTATCTAATTGAATTTCCTGTATTTAGAAGTTAGCGTTTGAAAAAGGAGGTAAAAGGTAAGTTATTCACTCAACTTCCCAACTGCATTCAGCAGAAGTGGTTGTACAATTGCTGTGTCTTATGGCATACAGTACCAGTTCTGGGGAGAATCCCTCTCATACTTTTTTATATTTGCTTAAATGGTGTTTCTGAAGGTCTTTAGAAGGAAGTTCTGGCAATGGTCAAATCATACTAATTCTTAAAGAGAAATTGAGAATCTTATTTTAAAGATACGTGAAGCATGCATTGCAGAAAAAGTTATGTATGTGTGTTGGGTAACAGTTTTGATTACGTCTTCGTATGTTGTAACTCTTCTCTGCTTAAAAAAAGTCCATGCAAAGAAGGGAGAATCCGATAAAGGATATATCATTGCACTGAATTTGACTGAATCTTTGTGATTTCCCTTCTTTATGCTGCTGTGGCTTTTTGAAATCAGTTTGTACTTACAACATTTGGTCTCTGCAGTAGAAATTTTTGCTTTTCTGAGTGTGCAACTGCTGATATATTTGCTTCAGGACAATCAGGGTTTACATACCCTTTAAAACCATTTCTGGCCTCTACTGCTAAGCAATTAGTGACTTGCTGTGTACCCTGGGGTTCTAGGAGTGTCAGATGTAAGCAAATCGTTTAACGTAATAACCAACTACTTTTAGCCATGTGCACATATACACAAAATTCTGTACTCGGCCATAGGTATGTATGGAAGCAGATAAGTTGGGGAAAGAGGATCGTTCAAAAAATTCATTAACATTGAATGTTAGGCATCTTCATCTTCAGAAGTGAGTTGTATGCCAGTTAAAACATGACTTCATGGTACCCTGCTTCCTCTTGCCAAATTACTCTTTCAGAAAATTTGTGTTAAACACCAATTATTTGATCGGATACTAGGTTAAATTGGTAACTGAGATTCCTTTCTGGTTTTCTTCAGTTACTGATCTTTTGATGGGGAGGGGGCGGGGGAAAGAAGGAAGAACCACTTAGATTAACAGCCTTGGAGTGACAGCATTTTGTTGGACCAGTATGGTCTTAACAGGCTGCAGTACAAACTGCTTTTGCTGGTTACCCAGAGCAGTTCATTATCAGTCTGCTTTATATTTGAGGGGTTGATAACTTTTTTTAAGTGATAGAGACATCAGTTGCTAGCAGCAGACTTCTGTTTCAATTTTTGTAAGTCACAAAATCATTGCAGCAGTAATTACGTTCAGTGACGACTACTTTGTCACTCATAGTAACAGCTCAAATCCATCCAGGCCGTTGATGTTTCAGATGGAAACAAGTGCCTTCCCTCACACTGAATTGTTACGTGGTGTTGCAGTATGCTCCTAAACTGCTGGATTTGGACTCTTCAGCCTGTGCTCTCAGCTCCTTTTAAAGCACCAAGGAACTTCCTAAGGTGACTGGTTGAATGAAAAGTGGTTACAATGTTTCTGAGCTTCTCTTTGAAAGCTGATGGCATGGGGATTCAGAGGGGTATGGAGATCATCACTGGATTTTCTTCAATGGCTGTATATTCACTTCTTAAAAAGTTAAAGATGAGTTTAGGGAGTGAGGTAAAGAAAATGGCATTTGAAGGATTTTCTACTTGGTTAATTTTCAGAGGTGTGAGTTTCACAGGGAACTACACCTCTGGACAGCAGATCAGTATTTCCTTTCTTAAAAAAACATTACTGAGGTAATGTGAATGTGATATACTAGAAAGTGGTATGCTTTCTACTTCACACATTCAGCTTGTCTCTACAGTCTGTGCCTTTCAAGGTTCTCTGCCTTGCTCTCAGTATTCAGTATTCTTTCATGTGCATTTCTAATTCTTTGTTGTCGCTAGAGAGGTACAGAGTATGATCCCTTTTATGCTAAAGGAATAATGGTCTCTCATGTTTCATCAGGAATTTGAAGAATTCAACAGACGGTTGAACGAGGTGTCTAAGAGAGTCCGTATTCCACTGCCAGTATCCAACATCCTTTGGGAACACTGCATACGCTTGGCCAATAGAACTCTTGTGGAAGGGTAAGTAGTTATGCAAGTCTTGCTTTTGAGTAAAACTGTCTATAATAATAACTTCTACTTTATGGAATTAAAATTCTAATTGTGTAATGCACTGGTAAGTCCTTGCACTTTTGGCAAGCCTAAAAAATACCAAGGTTTACCATAGTCCTGTTATTTCACAGTGGTACAGCATTAAGCCTGAAGAGGATGGTCTTGTACTTGGATGCTATTGAAGAGTGACATTGTCTGAATGTTTTATTGAAGCATTTGAAACAACATAGTTCTCTTTCAAAGGAACTTCTCTCTGAAAATTATCTTTTCCGACCAAGCAAAGAAGAAAGATAAAGTGTAGTTGTCAGCATCACTGTGGTGGTGCCATTTGTCTTTGCCAGGAAGAAAGATGGAGTTGTCAACCCTAGCAGTTATCTTAGAGTAGCCATGGAGCAGGATTTTTCCAAATTCATCAGGAACAGACAGGTGGCTTAGTTGGTTTGGTAAATAGAGGCCCAAACACCTTAGTCAGGAACTGCTACACCTTGCTCATGCCTCCCTCTTAATCAGTTATCCAGTCTTTCAGGAGTCGATATTGTAGCCTGAGTATTGTAGTCTTTTCATCCACTGCATTTATGGTTGTGTTCTTGTACCTTCTGCATCGTAGAATATGTGCTGTCTTCCACTTTTTCTGCATTTTTCCATATTTCTTTCCTGGTTATCTTTACTCTGTGCACTCCTGACTGATTTTCCTTCTTCCTATCCCACTCTCCTGCCATCTGCTCTAATTTAGGACATCAACAACATCCTTCTTTCCCAAGTGTTAGCTGTCTATTAAGGATCATCAGCTTCCACTGCTTCCATCAAGCCATCATTTTTGAACTCATGCCCCTTTCTTTTCATGCCATCCTTTTGCAGTCTCTTGAGAGATCAATTTCATCTTCAGGGAGACTAAAACCAGCCATGACCTCCCTCTGGTTTCTTAATTCCTTCATATGACATATGACCTATACAACTAACTTTTCTTTCTGAAATTTTATTTTCCACTTATCTTACCTCAAATCAAAAGAAGTGGAACTAAAACATCTGTCTTCTCCTTCCATCCCCCTTTCCTTTCAAGTGGATAACACTATCGGTCACTACCAAACTCCTCTGCCTCGGCCCTTGTTTCTGTTTTGGGCTTGTTTCTTTCCCTTACTTCAAATCTTACTCATCGTTTGTGACTTCAGCGTTCACACACCACTTAATTCTTAGCGATGAAGATCATCACTTGTATGCCTTGTTCCATGCTGCAGTTTTGCTTTGCATTTGTGACTTATCATGAAACTTTCACCTTTACTTTTACCTAAGCGTTGCACTGACTGGTCAAAGTGGACTGGGAATACCTTAGTGATGTGATTTGTCCTGTGCCCTTCCTTAGCATGTAAAGAGCAGTCATTATTGTGTACTCCCAAATATCTGCCTGTAATTTCTCTTTGTTGCCCAGGTTTTGTTTGGTTTTTTTTTACCTATCTTGTAGTTTCTTTTGTCACCAGGGAAGGAGAAGGAAGGTATTCTGAACAGCTGACTCCCTGAATACCTTCATAACATTTTCATCCCTGAATTCCATGAAGGTGTGTAATTAAAAGCCAGGAAGGAGATGATTTTCCTTCAGTCAGTTGGTCTCATCAGGCACTTCACTGAGTGAAGAATCATCTCCAGTACAGTCAGGCATGGCCTCCTTTTATATCTTGCCCTGCATTACCTCCTTGTTCTTTGTTCTCCCTTGCTTCCCTTCTGGCTTATTGAAGTGCCTCAGTATGTCTTATTGAGAATCACCGTCCAGTTTTCTTTGGAGCCTCAGAGGTCTTGTGCCTTGGTCCTTTACTCTTTGCCTCTGTTCTTTCTGAATTCTGCAAATTCTTTCTGTGTACTAACTGTAAGGTGCAATTTCTTCTTAACCTGATTTTGCTGTGTATGCAGTTTCCAGCTGCATGTTTCTGGTGCCTCCTTTGCATCAGACCTAATAATTTAGGGACTGTGTAATAGTTAGGATCAACTTAATGAAGTAATGGAATAATGAGCTTGCTTTAGATTTGGTACCAAGGAAGAGTGGAAGCAGTGGGACAGGATTGTTGCTTGTGGCAGCAGCCTGTGTGTGGGCTGGATGAAGTCTATCAAGACACTGTGCCCCAGACCAAAGCTTTTCTTATTCCCTGTATGCAGCTGAGCTTGGCACCGTTAAGGGCATTGCAATGTCATTTACTTGGATCTTGACAAATGCAATTTCTTATCCATTTGAAAAACTGCAAAGGTAGTTTTCCTCATTTGTTGCCTGTCACCCCACTGTAATCCTTCCTGGCATTACCCTGTCCTAAGCTTATCTACTGTCTCTTCTTTGAGCTCAAACCTATTACCAGTTTTCTGTCAATCTACTCTCATTTAAAACATGAACCGTTCACAGCCATGAGCCAGTGCTGCCACCCTTTATCCTCAGGTAATATTGTGCATGGTTTTGGACAAACAGCTTTGTGCCTTTCTCTGATGCTGGTTCAGCACTTTCCTGAAGCTGCTGCGTTACATTTCAGACTTCAGTGGTCACGATCGCTTGACTAAAGCCAGTTTGGTGAGCTGGTCAACACTGATTTCATTTGCTTTAACCCACTACAAGCAAGCTGTTCTGTGTAGGATTTTTAGTGGCTTGGGTGGTTGTGTTTTTTTTAAGTAGCACTGGGTACAATGGGGTTCTGCTCTGAGTGAGGCTAAAACATTATACTAATGCAAATGAAACTCTGCATCACACATCCTAGGAGGACTTCTTGTCTGCTTGTAACTCAAAACCATAATTATGTTCCTTCTTAATGTTCAAAGGACTAAGTTAAACAACTTTGAGAAGTGTGATTCACTTTTATTTCCTTTTAATTTCTATGTCCTGGTGTGTTTCTCTTTTCAGTTATGCCAATGTAAAGAAGTGCAGCAATGAAGGACGTGCCTTGATGCAACTGGACTTTCAACAATTCTTAATGAAACTGGAAAAATTAACAGACATTAGGCCTATTCCAGATAAAGAATTTGTGGAGACCTACATTAAAGCATACTATCTAACAGAAAATGACATGGAACGCTGGATAAAAGAACATAGGGTAAGAGTTAAATTTACATTCTCTTACTGTGTATTGGGAAAATTCAGTGATTATAGAATCATGGTAACAACTCTAAAAGATCAATGATTCTGTGTGTTAAAAATGAGTATATGCATATATATTTTTTTTTTCACTTATTAGAATATATTTGTAATATATTTCTATTTATTATCATAGAAAGCTAGGATGTGTTTGTACTGATTCATCTGATGACTGAGAAGGATGAATAAGCCAGTCACATCTACCTACTGTATCAAAAAATATAGAGAACTGGAGCGAAGGGAAGTTGAAAACATTTGTGTGTTGTTCAGAGTATGCCAAACTGCACAACTTGACTCTCAAGAAGTACAGTTTGAAATTACACCATCAAGTTTTACTTTGCCTTTAGGCACAGGTTGCTTAAACAAAGTTGTGAGGCACAATGGATAACAGTCCTTGGTTTTCTTCCTTCATTTTATGATACTGAGTCAAGATCAACATTGCTCTCTGAGATAAGTCTTCATTTGTGTTCTGAAAGCATTTGGCTTACTTTAATGGTAGCATAACCTGGCAGTTGTAGCAGGACTGTGTAAGCAGTAGTCACATGCTCTTGGAATTGGCCGTTGTTAGTCTTTTAAAAACAGAGCTTTTTGAAATCTGCATTTTTGGATTACTTTAAAATCCAACTAGAAATGGGCGAAAGAAATGCATCTTTAATATTGTTTTCCTTGTTATACCTGAAGCCACAAGAGAGATTGTGAGCTGTTGTTTGGTGACCTACATGGAAAAACTACTGGTAAAACCTACTGGTGGAAGCTATATTTTGGATAGTGTTAAGTATAAAGGTAGTACTGGCAAATGTGGTGTTTTGACAGGTGTTAAGAATTCTTAACATTTTTCCTATTTTTTTCTCCTTTATCATGTACTGAAATTAACATTGTTTGGGTACCCGATAGACAGAAGTATTTAGAAGCTTATTGGAAATGAGAAGTCAAAGTCAAAATAACTTTTGTCAGTTTGTTTAGAAAGATGTTTTTATGTTAAAAGCTTATTCCATTTGCATATATATTTCCCAGCACACCTCCCGAAGAATGGAAAATATGTAAGAAATTGATTTAGATACCTGTGTGTTCACAAAATTATTTTCAGCAAACTCAGTCCAATACTACTACCAAAGTCATAATTATTTTCCATTATAATCTGCCGTGTAGCAAAATACACTTTTGTCCTCTGCCTCAACTATGAAAATTATCCAGACCTGACTTAACTAGTGCTTTAAATCTCTTTTGTGTACTGACTGCTTCTATCAGTTGAAAAGTCCACAGTTTGTATGTCTGCGTTTTGTCATTTTCTGTCTTTGTCTGGTGTTTTAGTAACATGATCTGCCTTTATTTGCCAGGAATATTCCACTAAGCAGTTGACCAATCTGGTGAATGTTTGTCTGGGCTCCCACATCAACAAAAAGGCAAGACAGAAGTTGCTAGCTGCTATTGATGACATAGACAGGCCTAAAAGATAACTGGAGAAAGCTACTTTCCTTGTGACTTGTACCCTTTTTTGTTCATGTGAAGCATGCAGACAAATCTCTCATGGACTAATGACAACACTCTCTTTGAAAGCATTGTGCATGACCTTTCTTACCAGCATTGGAGACACTCTGATGTGGCATAATGTTCTAAAATACAACTTTTCTAATCTGTAAAATTCTTTGCTGTTGTATTTCTTCTTGGGTTGTTCGGGTTTTTTTGTTACTTGCTCTCAGTAAAGGGCCACTTTGTGTATCATTGGTGATATATTTTATTATTTCGCTGTATATTTTGCAAAACTGTATACTGTAAGTAAAATCAGAATCGGAGAGAAACACATTGGCTTAATATATAGTTGATGCTCTTTTTTAATAAAAGGGCTACGTGAAAATATGCTTTCTTTCCTCCATGCTTTCACCCTCAGAATTTGTGCTTGACTATGGACCAGTGTAAAGTGAAAGGAAATGTACAATAATTCGATGTATCATGCATGTGGATTAAGAGTGCAGATCATCTAAATATTCTCATGTTAAAGCCTCTCATCTTCATATGTATTTAAAAATGTCTTTTTATTTTAGAATTAATTTAGTCATATCAAAATGATTGACTCCAGATTAATAGAAAGTAATAAATACTGTACACTAATATGATTTCTTTGTGAGACTTTATTTTCAACAATGCAAAAATTCATTTACAACAGAAGTTAGTACTGTTCCTTTCATACCACTTCCCTTTTGTCCCTCTGCTGGTCTTCCCTGTTCCGAAGCAATAATGCCAGGCAATAAGAACAATTTTTCTTTAGGCTGAAATTTTGGATTGATACTAAGATAACCTTACTATTTTCTGATCTGCTGGAGACACCCTGAGTGATCCAGAGCAAAGCAAAATTGCTTGGCTGCCTATTTGTCCTAGAAATCGATTTGTCAGAGCATCACTGACTCCACTGTAATTCTCAGGTTTGCCTTTGGTTTTCAGTATGTAAAGTTTTAGATTTTTTTTTTTTAATTACTTCGTAAAGTTTTTGCAGTGGTCTCAGACCTTTTGAAAGGAAACCTGCTAGCATTGAGCTAATAGGTAAAGTAATTCCCATAAGCTACAATCCACTTAGTCTACCATCTGTACAACATGGTAGACTATCAGTTTAGGGTTCATACCTGCCATCGTATTTCTAATTCAAACATGGGAGAATCGGGACTTCCTGAATGACAGCAGTTCCTGGTGACAGAAAATCGCTCCTTGGCATCATTGTAATTGCTGTTTTCTGTAGCTTCATTTCCTCTTCAGAAGTGAACTGAGTATCATTGTGTGAGTTCAGTGAAAGCCTCTATACAGTTTTAGAAGAATGATAGAATTTACATTTTAAATACTGACTGCATAGTATTCAGCTCCATTGTTTACCTGTATTTTAAAGGAAATAAGATTTAAAACAAAATTTGACTCATTGATCATGCAGTCATGTTACATTTAAAACGTGTTTAGCGGTGTGTCAGTGTATACGTTGCAGCAGAATCACTTTTACCCTCATTAAAAAGGTGGTTCAAAACCAGAAAAGTGTGATTCATTTTGAAAGTGTGGACTTCATCATCAGTGCATCTGCCCTGAAGTCAGATCCTCAGCAAGAGCCCCCAAGAGAAGTACAGTCGTGTCAGAGACCATTAGTGTAAAACCTGTTTCAATTTTCTTCTCGTCAATGAAATAAGAAATTGAAATATCTCTACCAGAGCTTTTGTGAGCTGAACACATGGTTAATTTCTCCTGAGCTGGAATTTGATTTTTTTTACCCAAAGGTAGAAGTATAAGCACTGATTGGAATGGAGGGTCAAGCAAGGAGGTGAGCAATTGCATGAATCATAGTCAGGAGTAACTAGTTGTAGTGTATCTAGAGTTTGGCTTATTTTTAAGTAAGCCCCCGGATAAAAGAGTGTGTAAGATGCAGTGTTAAACCTGCGCAAGAAATGTTTTGATCATATATGCCGCAGCAATGATTTTGCAAGGAACCTCCTCTCGCTGCCCGGGATTGATGCTAAGGGAGAAGCTACATAGCTTAATGGCCTACCTACTCTCTTGGCTGTATGATTTAATGGGTTGCCCTGTGTGGAGTCAGGAGTTGGGCTTGATGACCCCCATGAGTCCCTTCCAACTCAGGATTTTTGATACTACTTGGTTCTGAGTGATGAAGCCATGTTTTGGCTGAATGTTGAACTATTAACTTACTAAGGGTCTGTTTGGCACTTCTTACCCTCTGTTATGAGAATTCCTTACAAATAATTGTTTTTTTATTTTTTGAGCATCTCTGTACATCTTCATTCTCCTATGGACTAAGAACTATCCTATACAGCTTTTTCTGCAATAGAGAATATGGCTTAAATATCCTTTATGTTTTAGAGGAGTGCTTTGGAATACTCTAATAAAGGAATATTATTTCCTTCAGTCTCTGAGGAGAATGACCAGCACTGCAGAGGTGGGCAATGCGTCTGTCAGTCCTTTAGTGTAATGAAGATTTAAGTTCTGTTCCCCAGGCAGTGAATACTCCTGATGTTCGCCAGACTTAGCTGGAGTAAGGAGGACCAATTTTCAAGTCCCTGACTGAGCAAAGCCTGTTCCTGCCCCAATCAGCATACCACTGGCCTTTCTGCAGTCAGCCTCTCTCAGTTGTATCTAACGGTGATTCTGTTCTCCAAAGAAGCAGCTAACTGGGACAAAAATAGGGGGGAGCCAACTGCCGTGGCCTTGGTGTAAGATGCAAGTGCTTGCTTTGGTGTGGGTTTAATTATTCAAAGCAGAAGGACATTGGCAGGAAAGACCATCTTGGATCAGCGGTGCTTCAGCTGATGGGGATAGTGCACAGAGCAGCCCCTGGAGGTATAAACTCAAGTACTTGATCCTGGTTCGGACTTGAATGCTCCATAATTTCAGGTGAGCAGCTAGATTTCTAGGTAACTGCTTATTCTGGGGTCCCTTGCTCCTGTGTGGGAGAGTGTTCCCATGTGTCAAATGCAAACTTGTCTTGCTTCTGATCTGCAGTGGGAAAATCTCAGCCTTGGCCAGAGCTGCTTAGCGAACCTGGATGCGGGGTGTAGATTACAGCTTGTGAACACTGCCGAGTCTTTCAGGGGGGCGTGATCAACGGCTGCCTCAAAGCTGTCTGTGAAGCTTTGCGTCCCCTTTTAATTTTCACAGGTGTAAATGACAAAGGCAGGTTTCATGACACCGAAGTTGGAGCTTACTTAATGCAAAGCTGTGGATGTGGGCTGTGCTCCTGGCATGTCCTCTGGCCACGGAACACACAAAATTATAGATCCCCATCTTCTTCCTGTGCAAGTGATTATTTGGGGTCTTTCCTCTTTGAGACCCTGCTTATGATTAACATTATGAAATTTCTGAATTGCAAGCTGTGCTTTGGTAGCTTGAACTAAATAAAACCAGTGTTTAAAAAACAAAACAGAAAAAAAGCCCAAAAAACCTAAACCCACGCAAACACAAAATCCCACCAACCTGACTAAACTGATAAATAGTGCTGTCTTACCAAAATCCTCAACGGGCCAAATGTCAGCAGGCACCTGCTCTATCATAGAGGATGCAAACAGAGATGGACGAAAGAGATGCTGATTTATTGTGTGTGGGTGATGGTATCTATTTTATTCATAAGCACTGCTTGTAACAGCATAGCGTAAAGACTATTGCACCAGACACCAGGATTATGGTACAAGCATGGAAATAATGCAATTTGCAAACAGCAAAGTTTCCGTGCTTGCTGGCTATTTAACGGTATTTGTGAATGTGTTGTTTTTGCAGCACCAGAGCTGGTTTTCATCACAACAGGGACTTTTTTTTAAGGATCTCCTACTCTTCCATGAGATCCCCAAGTGGGATGTGGAGCAGCATCTTTAAACTATGCTAAAGACTTCACAAATCTGTGGTTTTTTTGTTTTTGTTTTTAAATAGGCATTAAGTCAATAACATGCTGTATGATGAAGTACGTGCCTGAGGAACTAGCGAGGACATGAGTAACCTAGTTTTGCATGCGGTGAATCCATTGCTAAATTTTATTTTGGTGGAATATTATGTCCAGTCCCAGAGGGTTTACATGTATCAGCTGAACTAAAAATAGTTGGATGTGACCTAAACTTGACTCTACTTGGCTGTCCTGTTGAAGCAAGTATCCCCAGTATCCCTCAGCTCTGCTGGATTGGTATGAAACATTTGATCTGTCTAGATGTGTAAAAGAAAAACAACTTTCCAGAGCAGAGATTTATAGACCTACGTGTTATGTTTGTAGATGATCTTGCATAGATTTCAGTGTTGTCAGATTATAAAACTGGCAAACAACTGTCTAAACGTGTGTTGATTTTTGAAAAGCAAAACATACGTGGAAGCTGAAGATTTAGGAGAGGAGATGCAGTGAAGTGCCTCTTCACGAAGCACAAAATTAACGGATGATCAGATGTGGAAAATGACTGCAGGCTTTTAAAGATCTTTTTACAGGTAAATCCAAGGTTCATACTTGTATGTATTTCCTACCTTATATCTCTAGTAATTTTTATTCATAAATAAAAAGTCAACCTGTTCATTGTATTTCGGTAAAGAATAAAATAGAAATGTCACCTGAGCCTTAAAATAAAATGGATCCTTGTATAGGAAAGATACTGTCAGGATTGTAACGTGGCAGCTGTCTGAGAGCTGCAGGGATTTAATGTAGATTATGCACCATGAAACTATTCCTTTTCAGATTCATCCATACATCGTAGTGTGAATAAATACATCCACACGGAGCTTTGTGCGCAATGTAATTTAACGCTGGGAGCTATGAAAAATGGCAGAATTCAACAAGCACCACTTTACTGGTTTCTCTGCCATGGCTTACATTAATAGCTGAGTCTGAAGCCTGGGTAGGTAGTGCAGAGGTGTTTCCTTGTGCAAGTAACCTGTGTCCATTTAGGACAGGGTCATAATCCAGGCCTGAACTCGGAGATTTGAGTACATCTGAGTTAGCATACTGCTCCCACTGCTGCTGACTTTGTCTGCCGCTGACGTGTGCTGCGTAGGAAGCATCGTGCAGGAGCCTGCTGAGGAGGAGCTCCAACCCAGCCCAAAACACCGTGAGCATCAGGTTGGGCACTGTTGGTGGAGCGTGATGCTCCTGCCCTAAAGCAGGGATCATGGATAATCATGCCTCTTTTTTCAGCTGCCCAGGGGGGTACCTGCTCCAAATGCACAGAACTTGTGGGTTGGAGGATGGGCAGAATCAGGCTGAAAGGCGGCAGGCAGGATGTCAGTGAGATGAACACTCCTCTTGCTCCAGGACAGCTCGCTGCTCTCTTGAAACCTCAATAAACATGGGAATTGTCATTGCCTGATGCAGTTATTAGCACAATACTAAGCACCTGGGAGTTTTCAGGACCGTTTATTTCTTGAAGTGTAGGAAAATGTTATTCATGTAAATTAGTTTGACCA